AAGAGAAGAATCCAAAAGGGCAAGTGAAATCAGTTTTCTCATGGTCCTCCGGGTTCACAATAATTTGATTGTAACCCGAATAACCATCCAAAAAACAATAGAATTCTTGACCGGAAAGTCTCTCGAGAATTTGATCCATGAATGGAAGAGGGAAATTGTCTTTCCTCGTAGCTTGATTTAGCCTACAATAATCAATGCACATTCTCCATCCGTTCACGGTTCTTGTAGGGATCAACTTCTTCTTCGCATTTTAGATTACCTTCATCACTCTTTTCTTTGGTATCACTTGCATTGGGCTAACCCACGAACTTTCAAAAATTGGATAGATCATTCCGGCGTCTAACATTTTCACCAATTCCTTCCTAACCACTTCTTCCATGGTAGGATTCAAGTGACGTTGAGGTTAAGCTACCAGTTTGAAATCGTCTTCTATGGGTATCTGATGCATACAATAGGAAGGACTTATTCCTTTTAAATCGGAAAGATTCCACCCCATAGCATCTTGATTCTTTTTCAACACACAAATTAATTTGTCCTCCTAATTTTTGGTTAGCTCCTTGCTTATGATCACCGATTTATGCCCCTCATCATCAGGAAACACATATTTAAGAGGAGAGGGCAAAACTTCAATTCAAGCTTGATTTCTTCATTATTTTCCTTTTTCAAAATTTCCACCTTTTCTTTCAAGGGAGGAATCTCATCCAATTCTTCAAGTTCTCAGAAACACTTTTTGATTTCTTTTTCTTCATTCTCATTGATACTTTAAAGAGCATTTGTAAGAACTTTTTGTAATGGGGTAGTAACTTGTAATTACCTTGTTACTTCTTCAATCACCTCTTTCATTGCATCAATTCTAAAACAATTACCTTTGTCCTTCGAATGCTTCATGGCTTCAAATAGATTAAAACAAATCTCCTCATCTTGAACTCTCACTTTCATGAGACCGTCATCCATATCGATGGCCATTCTAGTGGTCTTCATAAAAGATCTTCTAAGAATCAAGGGAGCGTATTCATCTTCTTCCATATCAATCACCACAAATTCGATGGGAAGCAAGAATTTGTCTACCTTAACCAACACATCTTCCACTACACCGTGAGGATGGATGGTGGATTTATCGGCTAGTTACAATGTCATTTGAGTAGCTCTAAACTCCATATTTCCCAACCTTTTCACAATGGACAACAATATCAAACTGATACTAGAGCCCAAATCGACCAACCCATTGTCAACATAAATATTTCCTATTGTGACCGGCAAAGTAACTCGTCCCATATCACTTGCTTTCCGCGGAAGAGTCTGTTGAATGACTGCGCTACAAATAGCACTAACCATGATCGTTTCTTGATCTGTGTACCTTTTCTTCTTGGTGAGAATATCCTTCATGAATTTTGCATATTTTGGCATTTGCTCCAATGCCTCGGAAATTAGAATCTTAATTTGCAATTGCTTGAAAATATCCAAAAACCAAGCATAGTGCCTCACATTATCTTTCTTCGACAAAGCATGAGGATAAGGAAAATTTTGAATCAAAATAGTACTCACTTGTTCCTTCCCCTTCCTAGTCTTTTTAATTTTCTCTTCTCTCATTTCCTTTTCCTTTTCAATTCATTCTCCCTCAACATTCTTTTCTACTTCTTTCTCATCAATCTCTTTTTCTTTTTCAACTACTCCCTCATTTTGCACAACTTCCTCACTTATGCCCATATCAATTTCTCTACCACTTCTAGTAAGAATAGCCTTGCAATGCTCTTTTGGATTCACTTGAGTATTCACCAGAAAACTTCCTTTGTGTTGGTCAGCCAATTGTTTAGATAATTGCCCAACTTGCATCTCAAGGTTCTTTATAGCCGCATCGGTGTTCTTTTGATTAGACATTGACATTTGCATGAATTGAGTGAGGGTGTATTTCATCTTTGAATTTCCACTTGGAGCTTATGGAGGTTGAGTGTAATTTTGATATTATTGTTAATGATTAGAAGTTCTGGCATCTTAAGGCCTCCATTGTTGTTGATAACCTTGATTACCTCTTTGTTGGTAACCTTGGTTGCCTTGTTGGTAAGGTGGTCGAGGTTGATACCCTTAGTTTTGATTTCTCGCATGATTCACCTCTTCCACAACCGGAGGATAATACCTGGTAGGGTGATCTCCCTTAAAAAGCTCACAACTCGTCACTTGTTTGTTGTTGTTCGGAATTTCTTGCATTTCTTTTATTTGTTGCGGAATTTTTGACATTTGTTGAGTCAACAACTCCACTTGTTATGAAAGCAATTTGTTTTGCACAAGAATCGCGTCATTTGTTCCCAAACTATCATGCCCGATTTTTATTGAGTTGTACCACGATTGTGATTTCCTTGGAGATCATTAAGTGTCATCCTATCAATAATAACAATTGCGTCTTCAGCGCTTTTGGGCATTAGCGATCCACCCGAAGTACCATCTAACAAAGTCTTGTGAACCGATTGGAGTCCATTTCGAAAGATGTGCACTTGAGTTAATTCGTCAAAACCGTGTCCTTTGCATTTTCGTAACATAGATTTGCATTAACGTAAAAAATAAATAAAAAATTACACTAAAGTTACCTCTATGTCCTAGATATGTCTGGCAGTGTGGTCTAGATACATATGAAGTAAGGACATATTAAATGGACCTCCTTCGAAAGCCTCTGGCTCGACATCAGCAACTTCACCTTCCGGAGGTGGCACCGGTACATCAAGATCATCAGCAGGAGGTAAAACTGGTGCAACAAAATCATAAGCGGGAGGTGGCACCGGTGCATTCCAATGCCTGTGGGAGAATGGAGGAAGTGACGTGTCAGTTGATGCATCTTGTGGTATGCAGGAAGAAGAAGTAGAAGGTGGAGTGGGATGAGATGTAAATGGAGTGGCCTAAGGTGAAGGTCGAGCCCCAGGAGTGGATTGAATCTCAGGAGTAAACTGTGCCCAAGCAGTCAATACCTCTCTATGATCAGAGGTACCTGCTGCCTCCACTCTCGCTGAACGGATGCGTGCTAGGAAACAGTCCATGCCTTAGTCAGCCGACATTGTCAGCCATTATGTCTGCAAGGTAAAATTAGTCGTACAATGAGTTCACGCAAATGAATAGCACAAACAAGAAAATTATAAAACAAAAGAATAAAAAATAGACAGAGGAAAATCCTGAGATATATCTACGGAAACATTCTGCAGATGTATCTCTCGAATCCCCTAGAGTACATGAAACATTAAATTTTTCTAGAGATGTATCTCCAAAATTTTTTGAAAGAGGTCACGACAATGGCGTCCTCAGCCCCTTAGAATGTGAAATTTGAAGTCCTGATCGTCCATTTGAGCCACCAAATAATACATACACTTACTTTAAACTATGTTTCAGCTTATTTCTAATCATTTCAATACCTAACAATGGATTCTAACTCGTTTACAACAAAACTCGAATATTTAACGAAAACTCGAAAAACTTATCCAAAATTTATGATTTCGAAGATGTTGAATGATGAACTAGATGCTGCTTGATGATTACTTGAGCCTCGAACGAATTAAATTAAATTTGGTGAACTTGGAGAAATTTGAAAATAAGAGAGTGGAAGAGTTTTGTGAATGAAAATAGAAAGTGTGGGAGGAGAAGAGTCTGACGCGATAATATTCTCCAAATTGTTCCGGAGACATATCTCTGAAATATTTCAACATTCAATTGGATTTTGGTGTGTCCGAAGATATATCCACGGAATAATTTAACGTTTAATTGAAATTAGGTGTCTAGAGATATATCTCTGAAATCAAAAGACTTATGTGAAAAGTCATATGGTGTGGAAGAAATCTATAGAGTGCAAAACGAAATGTTCTAAAATATTTATGACTAAATTAAAAAAATTTGAGGTCTTTTTATAATTTAAAATTTTGAAGTTTAAAGCCCTTATTTGGTTCGCCTTATTCTTAAGTCAACCTCTCTCTCTCTCTCTCTCTCTCTCTCTCTCTCTCTCTCTCTCTCTCTCTCTCTCTCTCTCTCTCTCTCTCTCTCTCTCTCTCTCTCTCTCTCTCTCTCTCTCTCTCTCTATATATATATATATATATATATATATATATATATATATATATATATATATATATATATATATATATATATATATATATATATATATATATATATATATATATATATATATATGTATGAGAGAGTGAGATATTTACCATTCCAAATCTAATTTCCAACTCAATTTTGTGACACACCACAAAGAAACCAGCTAGTATCACACCGCATTATTTCTTCACATATCTCAAAAATAAAACACACATTTGTGTTAAGAATTTTCTATTTACATCTCATCTCATCCACAACACAATTTTTGCACAATTTTCTATTTACATCTCATCTCATTCACAACACAATTTTTGCACACTCTGTTCTCATTTTTCATTCTAAATAAATAATAGTTTTCATTCTAAATAAATAATAGTAGCAAAAAATAGTGAACCCTAAAACTGAGTTGTTATGAGTATGCAACAGCTACTATATTCAAAAAACGCGTGTAAAATTTACCACCATTGGCTATGAGTCCTACTCGGAATCCAAATCTTAACAATCGCTTATTTTTACCAACTTTTTTCATATTGCTTAATAATTCAGTTTTTTCTATTACAACTTTAGTTTCTATTGCCACCACCCTAACTCGTTACCCCACCACCTTTATCATTCAATTTTTAACCACCCTCTACCGCCGCCGCCATAATAATAACTTCTCTTATTTTCTCTCTACTGAAGAATGGTTGCATATGCATAGTTGAATTAACACATAGTACGAAGAAAAGAGAGAATATTGAAATACAAAGAAGAATAGAAATTTGTTTTAATTTGTTATTGTAATAATAACAAGAGGGAGGAGAAGTTAAGTTAAATTGGTGTGTTAAATCTCTCGAGGAAGAATTTTGCTACTCTGACTCAAGAGATTAATCTTTGCGGATACAAAGGATATATAACCAGTTTATACTAATATTTTGAAAAATATGGAACACATGACAAATGTTGGAGATGGAGTGAATGATGAAAATGTGTTATTTGGAATGATGGAAAACGGCGGTGGCGGTGGTAGCGGCGGCGGTGGTGGTAATGATGACGTGAGTTTGAAGAAAGGTCCTTGGACAACAGGAGAGGATGCAATTTTGATTGATTATGTAACAAAACACGGGGAAGGAAATTGGAATGCAGTTCAAAGGAATACAGGCTTGAATCGTTGTGGGAAAAGTTGTAGGCTTAGATGGGCTAATCATCTAAGACCTAATTTGAAAAAAGGCGCATTTTCTCATGATGAAGAGAAACTCATTGTTGAACTTCATGCTCAATTTGGCAACAAATGGGCTCGAATGGCTGCATTGGTAAATTAAACTCTAAAATTTAATTGTTTTCTCTTCATTATTCTATACAAAAACTATATATATTTGCTCATGTTTGTGTTATTTGAAATGTTGTAGTTACCGGGAAGAACCGATAATGAAATCAAGAATTACTGGAACACGAGAATCAAACGTCGTCAACGACAAGGTCTTCCTCTTTATTCGGATGAACAAGATCGTCCGAACACACCAACAACACCTTCACCGTGTACACCGACGGGTTCAAACCTTAATAACAACATGACGCCGAAATTCGAGTTTTTCAACCAATATCATCCACAACAACACCATCTTCAACAACAACAACATCTTCATCCTTTGTCTCCAACACCAACTCATCATCATTCTCCTCTCTCTTCACCACTCCAACATAGACAACAACAACATCAACAACATTCTTATTCTCCTCACACATTCTTAGACACTTCATCATCTTCTTCGTTTTCGCCACTTTCCTTCACTTTTCAAAGACCTGCACCACTCTTATCTACGCCGCTTCGCTTCAAACGCTACCGTTCGACACCAAGTTTTAGCATAATCCCAAATTCCATGACACAAAATTGCTCTTCTTCACTCAACGATCCTTCTTTAACGTCTCATCATCAACACGATAGCTTTCGGTTTCCGATGCAATACAACTCGAGCTTTCCTCAATATTTTCATACTCATTTGTTAGAATCCGATCTAGCAGTTTCTTCAAATCAATATTTAAGAACAAACCTAGAGCAAGATGTTAAGCCAAATATTGATTTCAATGATCCAAATTCTTTTCAAAATAATAATAGTATCATGATGGGAGATATTTTAATGGAAGCACAAACCCTAGCATCTGGTCAAAATTCAAAGAAAAGAAATTACTTGAGCTTAAATGAAGGAAATGACATGTTTAATGGATGTCAAAGCATTGATGATTTTACACTAAGCTCTATTTATTGGCCTTCTAATTCAGGTTAATAATAATGCTATATTTTATATTGGTTAATTTTTCATAGATAATTTATTTTGTAAAATAGATTTAAAAAATTGTTAATTTTATGACTTATTGAACTTGAATGTTTTATATGCAGGAACAAAATCAAAGGAAGAAGCACCAGACCTAAGCAAATTTATGAATGATGAAATGTCAACAATGCTAACAGTGATGCCTTCATCAACAATGCAAAGTCAAGATTGGAATAATAATAATAATAATGATAATAAGAATAACAATAATAATAACAATGCATTAGAAGTGACCAATGTTCAATCTTCTAGTGGTGTGATGGGTGATGAAAATTTTGGACTCGATATTAAACCAATAGCTTCATTGTTTCCTCTTACAAATACTACAAACAATGATAATAGTAATGAAAACAATGGTTGCTACAGTTGGGACAATTTATCAGGACTATGTTGAGGTTCATATGTGTATCTGTATTGTAATTGTAATTGAAATTTGTGTAATAAGATAATTTTAGATTGTTACTTTTTCAATTTGCAAATGTTTGATTTATACATGGAAAATATAATAAAGACAAGATTTAGGCCTTTTTAGTGTGCATGATTCTTAATTTAAAATAAATTTCTTGTATAATGAACATCCTTCAATCTTGCAAAAAGTTCTCCATGGTAGACGTTGAAATAATGGAATCATCACTTTTAGAATGGGGGTTAGGGATAGAAGATGGTACTTCCTTGAAGATTGCGGGATCATCATCAAGCTAATTTTGCTCGAATGGTTGAATCACCCTACCTTCACGGGTTGTAGGCTTAATGCGATGGGCTTGTGAAATTACATGAGATTTATTTTTAGGCTTCCTGGACCAAAGGGCTATTAATAAGAGCATGGAGACCCAAAGTACTAGGTTGATCTTTCTCACAATCTAAGCAGTCTCCTGAAAACTAGAAGCATTAATTTTATGATAAAACTCAAGGACTAAGAGATAACGGTAGGAGAAATAACACACTGCATTAAAATCCAAAATAGACAGAGGCTGTTTTATAGCCTTTTTTCATAATAGAAGAGTGGCAGAAAATCACGTTTATAAGCCTACTACGTGGTTACTAAAAAATTGAAATAAAAACTGATTTTTCCTAAAAATTAGGACAACATGACTGACTTATTATTCTTAAATATTAGGATTTGATAACAGAATTAATAAAAACTATAACAAATAATATCTAACAATCCCTCCCTTAAGCTAATGTATCTGCATCTAGCTTACTTTAGTAGCTTCAGTCACTCCAAGCATGTCGCAGAACTTCTCAAACTGCTCCAACTTAATTGGTTTTGTCATTATATCTGCAGTTTGATCCTGAGAGTTGCAGTAGCTTAGTTCAACGACTCCATCATTCACCAAGTCTCTTAAGAAATGAAACCTTACATCGATATGCTTGCTTTTTTCATGTAACACTAGATTCTTGGATAGCTGTATAGTGGAGCTGTTATCACACATAACTATAGTTCTTGTCTTCTCTCCAACTCTCAGTTTCTCCAGCACCCTTTTGAGTCAGACACACTGACAAGTACACAATGCTGCTGCTATGTACTCTGCATCCGTAATCGAAAGAGCAACTACTGTTTGTTTCTTTGATGACCAAGAGACAGCTCCAGACCCCAGCATAAACACAAACCCAGAGGTACTTTTCCGATCATCTAAGTCGCCAGCATAATCATTATCTGTAAAGGCGGTGAGTCTCAAGCTGCTTTCTCATTTCTTATAAAAAATACCAAGATCAGTTGTACCTTTTAAGTACCTTAAAATTCTTTTTGCTGCAAGCCAGTGTGACATGGTGGGATTACACATGAACCTGCTTATCAGACTAACCACATACATCAAGTCAGGCTTAGTTACAGTTAAATACATGAGGCTTCCAACCACATGTTTAAATATAGTTTCATCAACTTTAATACATCAAGTCAGGTCTAGTTACAGTTAAATACATTAGGCTTCCAACCACATGTTTAAATAGAGTTTCATCAACTTTAACTCCTCCTTCGTCCTTAGACAACTTTGAACCAGACACTATTGGATTCTTCACTGCATTACTGTCCACCATAGCAAACCTTGCTAACACTTCACGTGCATACCTCCTTTGACAGATGAAAATTCCCTTCGAACACTGTTTAACTTCTACTCCGAGAAAATGTTTCATCCTTCCCAAGTCAGACATATCAAATTCCGACATCATTGAATTTTTGAGCTCATCACGCATAGCTCGATCATTCCCAGTAAATATTAAGTCATCAACATAAAGACTGACTATTAATATTTTACCTCCTAGCGACTTTGTGAACAGTGTGTGCTCACTAGGACACCTCTCGAACCCTTCGCGAACAAAATAGGCATCAATTCTACTGTACCAAGCTCGCGGAGCCTGTTTAAGGCTGTCGCTACTGCGAAAATCGGCGCCGGCTGAACAGAAGAGTCGCCACCGTGCGTTATTTATCCCAAAGGAGGGAAAGGAAACGCTCGAAGTAAACCTCACGCAAAGACGGGAAAAGGAATGGTCATCGCAACCAAATCCTGGATTCGGGAGTCGGTTACGCAAGGGGAAGGTATTAGCATCCCTCACGTCCGTCGTACTCGACGGGATCCACGCTTGTTTTCTAGTACGGATTATTATTCTATCTACACTAAAGGTCAAGGGTTAAAAGAAAAGAAAATGACTCGGAAAAGTATCGCACTTTATGCCTACGTATTCCCGTCTGGAACGAGAAATCAGAGTCAACGTAGTTCGCCTACCTACGGGAAAGGAGGGGAAGGTTGCTCGCTAGGATATCGCATCCTATGCCTACGTACTTTCATACAGCATGAAAGATCAGAGCAAACGTAGTTCAGGATAACTACGACTAGACAGGGTATTCTCGATCACACAGGGGTGAGAGATCAAGTTGGTTTTGGAGGTACGGGAAACTACGGGAACTATAACTACGGTCTGGTCTCAAATGCGCAAGGGCAAGAGAAAATATAACAATCAATCGTCAGCGGGAAAGTCTCGATCGCACGGCAGCGAGAGAACATAAAGGTTAGTTGTTAGTGTGCTCGCTAGGATATCGCATCCTATGCCTACATATTCTCATTAGGTATGAGAAATCAGAGCAGCTGTAGTTCATCCTACCTACAACTAAAACGGGGAACGGGGAAAAGGGGAAGGGAGCTCGCTAGGGTACGGCATCCTATGCCTACGTACTCTCGTCTGGCACGAGAGATCAGAGCTAACGTAGTTCGACGGGAAAACGAGTCTCGATTTCCCAGGGGCAAGAGGAAGGGTCTCGATCGCCTGAACGCGAGAGAAAAGGGGTTTCGATCGCCCGGGGCGATAACAAAGAGGAAGCAGGTCTACGCCTAAACGGGAAGGAACTCCGGACACACACGCAAGAACCTAAGACGTAGGAGCAAATGCGTCGCATGACATCCTAAGGGTACCATACTAGACATCCTAGACGATTGAGAAGTAACTCCTCAACTGTCATTTCCTTCGTATCTAACGATGCGACTCACAACACTCGACGGTTGCCTGAAGACTTGAATACGACGATGATGATGAACGAAGCAGCTCCGTTGGCTCCTGACATGCGCGCAAGCTCCATTCCAATCTTCTCCTCTCTGGATCTTTGATGATGACGCTTGAATCATGAACAATGTAACGCTTAGACCTTCATGGTTCGATTTATACGAGAAATCGAACTCTCAGAGGTACCGTATTGATATCCGTGTCAAAGACAAGATAGAGAAATGATATCGAAAATCATTCTCCAATTGAATCGTGTCACACGGCCAGCCAAAAATAAAATCGAAGATAAAATCCGATAGAAACGAAAATAGGAGAGACAATAGGGGATAAATCCACTAACAAATGGAAATAAAATTCTACTCCTAAAGTACGGAAATTGAAGCCCAATAGAAAACATTCGAAAGAAATTAATAGGAAATTGCATAATGGAAAAATAACATAGAAAATACTATAATATTCTATAGAGAAAAATAGGACAAACTATATTAACTCTATATTATCCTAAAAGAAAATTGAATTAAAATCCATAATATTGCATTTAATATTTCTAAGAAAACTAAAGAGAAAAAAAAGAAATAAAATGCAGCAGGGGGGTTTATTAGTAGCTACAAGGGGGTATACTTCATCAGAAATATGGAGAGAGTTGGGCCCAGCCCAAGAGCTAGCAAACAAAACGGGGAGGGGGGTTCAGAAACAAAAATGGAGGTGTGTGTTCAGAAAAATAAGAAATGGGCCTTGCCCAATCAGTAACACAATGTTTCACCCCAAAATTTGACCAACATTTATTTACCCATAAAGTGATCAAAGGTTGATACCTTTGTCAGAAAGCTCAAGAGATCCTCAGAGGAATTGGTTGAAACCAAGGTTGTGTGGCTCACAACTTGAGAGTTGTTGGAGCTCCTCAGATGATTCTGAGACTATGAGGATGGACTTGAAGCTTTGAGAAAGCTTATGAGATGTCTTGAAAGCCATCATAAAGCCCAGAGAGGTCATTGTACAAGAATTCAGAAGATTCAGCCATGAATGGTGGAATTAGGGTTTGACTGAGTCAACCCTAGGTCAACTGATGATTTGGAGAGGGTTGAGACCTAATCCAAGAGCCATGTGATCATGGAATGATGTATTGAGATACTATAAGGATGATTCCTAGACCAACTCATCATGATTAAGGAGTTTGAGAAGTTTTAAGCTAGGGTTTCTAAGGATTGACAGTGTAAAATCCCCTAGTTGGATCCCTATCTTCAAGGCAGTTTTAGCTCAAGATGTGATTGTCATCTCATCTTCCCCATAACATGAATGTTGTAGAGATTGTTCTTAGATTTAATTTGAGTAGTAGAAGTCCTTGATAGGATTTATGGAGCTCAAGTTATGGTTTTGACAAATTACAGGTCATGTGAGGTATGTGAATCTGGGTCCTTGAAAGTCACCCAACTTGCAGACAACATTTTCCCTAGTAGGATGATTCCTATGGGTTCTTGGTCAACATGAATGTTGAATAGCATCTTCTTAGATTTCTATAGAGTAATAGAAGTCCTTGATAGGATTTGTAGAACTCAAGTTATGGCTTTGACAAGCCAAGGGCATTTTGGTCATTTGGAGGTTATAGGTCATTTCAAGCATAAGGCCATATCTCCTACTTCCAAGCTTCAAATGGAAAAATATTCAACATCAAACTTTCTTAGAATGATGTTTTAAGGCTAGTAGGGAGGTCATGAGATGTTGAAAAGGCTCATATCAAAAAGTGATAAAAATGGCCTAAAAATGAGGCATAAGTTAATTCAAGTGAAGTTGAAAATCATAAATCCCAAGTTACAAGTCCAAACCATGTCATGTAATAGGTCGTTTTGACTCCAAATGACATTCTAAGAACACTGGTTCAGCCACAATTTTGATTTGGGG